CAAGGAATGAAAAGAGAGACATGGTTCCAAGAACTAAAAGGGCACTGCCAACCTCTTAAAGATGTCCTGCATATGATTTTTTTTAAATGAGTTTATGGTTTTGCTACTTTTTACAAATAAGAACTAACAGTTCCTCTACTCCTCCCACAGAGAAGTCTATTTATAAGATAAAAAAACAAACAACAAAACAGGAATGTCAAGTCTGCTTTGGCTGGGACATTTCTGGATCATCAGAGGGATGTACATTGTGAACCCTCTGACATTAGTTGAGGAGATGGTGTTGTTTTAACTTGAACAAAGATATCCTATGTCAAGTGTTAATTAGTCATTTTATTGGAGTTAAATAAGTGTTAAGATAAGAAAGAAAAAAAAGCCTTGCTCTGTTTTCAGTTTCTTGAGATATAATTTCACTACTTTACAAGGCACTATACTGTCTTCCTGTAGTTCTGAAAGACATGAACTTCTAATGTAAAAAAACAAACCAGAAATACACCTTTGACATTCTGTACTTCGGGGAACACCCAGTACCCCATGTTCATCTTTATAATATAATTGTGTGGTATCTAATGCAAAGTTTGTCATGTCGGGTGTTTTCGGAAGGCCCATGATGCACTGAGCATTGTTGTTATGGTAATGGTATAGTAATCATTGTTACAGTAATATTATAGTAATGTTATAGGTTGTAATTTCATGTATATAGTTATGAGGCTTAAAATGTGTCCTCATGGCTTAAAGCAAGCCCAGGCAAAAACTCTCCAGAAGCAGAGGGGCAGTTCACACCTCATCAGGGCGTGTATGGGACAAACCCAGCCCAGCCTCACGGGAACAAAGGACACTGGCCTAAGCAACAAGAAAGGATCTGTGGGACTCTCGAATGAATCACCCCCCTTCCTTTGGTCAGGTTGGAACTGCAATGAGGTAATGCTCACCTGACTCTGAAGTGCAGGGCAGGGGGCGGGTGGGCAAAGCCAAGAGAGAAGAAAGAACATGATAAAAGGGAGACACGTTTACCATGCTCTTCCTCTTTCTTCCACCTCCATCTACAGACATCACCACCAAGCGACTGAAACACCGATCAAAGGGGAGAGCCTGGCTGAAGGGCAACTAGCCAGCCTGTGGTGAGAATCATCTAAGTTGGTAAGGGCATTGAAAGTGATAAGATCAGCTTAGAATGCGTTTTGTTTTTATTTCCTTTGACCAAATCCGACTTGTTATGCTTTGACTTATAATCACTTAAAATCTATCTTTCATAGTTAATACATTTGTTTGTTCTACCTGAAGCAGTATGTTTGGTTTGAAGCATGTCAGAGACTCCCCTTGGGATAACAAGCCTGGTAAATATAAATTTCTTTATTAAATTGATGAACTCATAAGCTTGCAGCGTCCAGCAGGCATAACTGGACGCTGCAATACAGAGGTTCCTAGGGTTGTGTCTGGGACTGGAGATATTGGCTGATATAATTCGGTTGCAAGTAGCTGGGAGCAGCTTACATGCCAGAGGCTGTGCGTGAACAGCCCAGGAGTGTGGGTTCTCACAGCAGAGCAGGGTAAGTCTGGCTCCTAGAGTCAAGGATTGGAATGACCTACCAGATCACTGGTCTAGATAACACCAGAGGGGAACGTCACAACACTTTTTTGACACACACACACACACAAAATATTCAGGACTTCTTTATACATCATAAAGAAGAAAACGGGGGGGCAGGGTGGAAGCAAGCCCATGTTCTCATTTCCAGGCCACCTTTAAGGCTTAATAAATGACTTGTTTTAAAAATGTCCTTTTCCCTTTGCAGTATTGTAGGTCCAAAATTTGCTTGTTTTTAATACCTATATTTAGATCTGGCTAGCACAATGAAAATGTATTTTTAAAAAATTTAAGACAAATATAGATACCAGTGTCTTTTGGTTCCAACTTTTTGAGAGTCAGGTGTACAAGAAACCCTTAAAAATATATGTATAGCCACTATTGGTTTATCAATCCAGAAGGCAGTGTAATGCTGTATCTTAGGGAGTCAGGGCCATAGGAATTATCTCTGTTCTGGGGTCACTGTGCTGGTGCGCAGACCCTGAGGGTGGGAGTTGCTTATTACCCCTTGACACCAAACCATCTGGCCAACAAAGGAGCGGTGTTCATAGAATATCAGGGTTGGAAGGGACCTCAGCAGGTCATGTAGTTCAACTTCCTGTCCAAAGCAGGACCAAGCCCCAGATAGATTTTTGCCCCAGATCCCTAAATGGCCCCCTCAAGGATTGAACTCACAGCCCTGGATTTAGCGGGCCAATGCTCAAACCCCTGAGCTATCCCTCTCCCCCTACACTGTTGATAGGCTATAGAAGATGCCTTCATACCTCAAGGACGATTAGCACGCTACAAAGCTCACCAGCTATTAAGGTGAGTAAGAGGAGATAATAGAGACTTCTTTAGAACGTCTATGGGTAGGGCCCTATCAAATTCATAGCCATCAAAAACGCATCACGGACTGTGAAATCTGGTCTCCCACCATGAAATCTGGTCTTTTGTGTGCTCTTACATGTGATACTAGCATTTCTCAAATAGGGGGTCCTGATCCAAAAGGCAGTTGCAGGGGGGTCACAAGGTTATTTTAGGGGGGTCATGGTATTGTCACTCTTACTTCTGTGCTGCCTTCAGCGCTGGGCAGCCAGAGAGCAGCGGCTGTTGGCCAGGTGCCCAGCTTTGAAGGCAGCCCCCTGCCAGCAGCAGCACAGAAGTAAGGGTGGCAATGCCATACCGTGCCACCCTTACTTCTGCGCTGCTGCCTTTAGAGCTAGGTGGCCAGAGAGTGGCAGCTGCTGACTGAGCCCCAGCTCTGCAGGCAGCAGCGCAGAAGTAAGGGTGGCATGGTATGGCATTGCCACCCTCACTTCTGTGCTGCTGCTGGCAGGGCACTGCCTTCAGAGCTGGGATCCTGGCCAGCAGCCGCCGCTCTCTAGCTACCCAGCTCTGAAGGCAGTGCCATCGCAAGCAACAGTGCAGAAGTAAGGGTAGCAGTATCACAACCCCCCTACAATAACCCTGTGACCCCCCACAATTCCTTTTTGGGTCAGGACCCTTACAACTACAACACCCTGACATTGCAGATTTAAATAATTGAAATCATGAAATTTATGATTTTTAAAACCCTAAGAACATGAAATTGACCAAAATGGACTGTGAATTTGGTAGGGCCCTACCTATGGGTAAAGATCACCACTTTACAGATTGGTTGTAAATAATAGGAAAGCCAGAAGAATATTGATGATCAGACTTACAAGTGACAAACAATTTTAAACAAAATTTACCCTTTGACCTGCTGACATTGGCAGTTTCTTCCATGCTTATTTAAATTTTATAGAACAATTTTCTTACTCCATAAAAATTAAACAGTCTAAAATACAAAATATTGGAAAGTTTTAACATATTTATAACAATATTTTATAATGGGATATTGTATGCCTTGGACAGAAGTGTCTTTTCTTGAGATTTGTGGAGAGAGGGAGCCACTCCAGAGGTGTGTGTGTGTATAAATTCTTATAACTGCTAAGCATAATACCACCTGAAAAAGAGCTCTATGTAAACTCAAAATCTTGTCTCTCTCACCAACAGAAGTTGGTCCAATAAAAGATATTACCTGATCCATCCTGTATCTAAGCATAATACCACATCATCTGTGAAAGGAATAAAGAGTATTTGACAGCAATAGTGTTCAAGTTGTCCAAAGTTCTCTATTTGGACCTTATTCAGTTAACCCTACTGATGAAAACTTTTAGGCATACTAAACCTAGAAATTAAATGCTATAAACTCTGGTTCTTCTGCTAGCTGGACTCCTTTGATTCAATGCTTTTACAGGAGATTTTCCAAATAACTTTTAGGAAAACAGAACAAGAAGCTAGGACCATCTCCTAACTGTCACTTAATTTAACCTAATTTTTTGGACAGCATAACACTAGAGTTGCATATTATGATGCTGACAGTTTTTGGTGGTGGAGGAGGGTAAGGGGAATTAATTGCAAAAGGGCACTTGGGTAACCTGCCTGATATATACTGCAAATCCTTGTATGTATCCTGTTTATCTTCAAAGTTATCTATTTATGTCAGACAAGAGAACATATGAGCACAGTAGCTGTTACTATAGCAATGAAACTCAAATGATTTTAAGACAGAACAAAAATTCACCATTGAAAGCGATTCAGATCTCTAGTTAGGTGATTTAGAAGACAAAACAGCCTCACAATTTCAGGATCTGGCTTAAAGTTTATGCTTCCTGAAGAAATGAAACTGGTGATTCCTGCTTGTTCCATAATGCATAGTAAATACCACACAGCCATCACATATAATTCAGTATAATCTAGCATATTTGAAATTTCAGCTAAAAAGTAGTGCAGAAATTGTCAATTACACCTAATCACATCAGTTCAAGGAAAGGGCATTCCCTTTTGTGAGGATTTTGTTAAAAAAGGGAGGGGGTGGGGGTAGAGAATAACTTATTGTGGTGGAATGTTCAATACTTTGATTGTGGTTAAAAAACAGGATTTCAGTGTTTAATGCTGTAAGTCCCTTAACCTTCTCAACAAAAGATTTAACTAATATTTAAAAGATCAGATGAATCAATATGAGTAAAGAGGAGTGTTTTTTTTTATAAGGGTTACAGCTTACTAGTGACTGAACTGAAACCACAATTCTCACTCATAAGGTAGTTTTCAAAAAGACCCTCCAAATTCTTTAATCTTCCTAACCCCTTAATGTCTTGTATTTATTATTTAATTGTCTTATATGCAGCTGCTGCTATATGGATACATTGCTTGTAACAGATACATTTAAAACACAATTTTTAAAACAATATATATTTAGAGATCAGAGTTCCTGAATTAATCTTTTTCCTCCCTTATTCGTGTAAATGTAAGCCAAATATAAAAACATTTTAACACTAACACAGACTGTCCATGCAGACAATGAACAAAGCACTTAAAGAGTTAACGATGAGAGATTGGCTTCATTTACCTGCTAGGGTGCCAGGTCTCTGTAGGGTAGCAGTGGCATATAGTTCCTGGGAATGCTTGCTGTACTGATCTGATGTGTGGACCAGCCGTTTGGTAGGAGACAGAGTAGCATAAGTGCCAATGGTGGAGCTTAGCTGATGTATAGGAGAGGAGGAAATATTAGACTGGATGGTGGGTGGAGACGTCACACGAATTGGGGAAGGAGAAAGTCCTGCTGAAGACACAACAATATTGATTGGTGAGCTGGTGCTGTAAGACTTGGCTAGCCGGCTTGGAGACTGCTTGGGAGAAGAGACCCGCTGCGTGGTGCTGTATCCAGCGCTCTCCGATGCTGAACCCACCCGCTGGAGCTTGGTTGGAGAGCCCACCTGCTGCATGGACAGCGGGGAGCTCACTCTCTGGGCTGGCAGAGTGGAGCTGGAGTAATAAAGTGTTGAAGAATGCTGGGAATCAGGCAAATGGAACGCGCTCCCATGGCTTGGCACAAAGGACTCTCTTGACTGAGAAGGTTCGGATCCAGCTAAATGAGCTGTTCGACTAGTTGTGCCCTGTACCGAGGAAAGAAAACAGAACCGTCAGAAAGAGAGAGACAGAAAAGAAAAACAGGACAGGAGTTCAATACATTTTAAAACCAGCCTTGCAAAATTTAACCCCTCTTCTATAGAGAATCCAGTGCTACAGAAAAAAACCAAACCAAACCAAACAAAAACCCTTTTATGACCTTAATAAGGTTTGAAACAAATGCCTTTAGGATTAACAGACTAATCTGCTAAAACATTTTTGTCCTTTAAGAGAAAATATTTCACAATTCAAGTCCAAAACATTAAAAAGTCCCCTTTACCATTCAAGTTGATATCTGGTTTAATGCATATTTTATTTTTATACAATTGTTGGATATTGTTATTAAACAGTTTCTTGTCCTGAAACACAATGAAATATTTACAGTTCATCCACCAAAACATTTAGTCTGGAGATTTTTTTTAAACAGCACCATTTCAAACTTTTATTTTGTTTATACTCCCCATGTTAGCTCACTAAAAAAAGCACAGGCGTTCAAGAACCATTTTAGCTGACAAACTTTCTTCACTGAAAAGCAATTAACATCCTTGTTATAAGAGGAGACTAGCCAGAATAATACACTCCTCAGAATTTGCTGCTGCTGCTGCCACCACACAGACTGAGTTCTGCCATTTGAAATAAATAAATACATTTTAAAAAGAGATGTAGACTTTCAAATCAGACTCTTGCAGTTGTAAAGGAATTATGCTTTCCAGTACAGAGAAATGCTGCAATTGAAACCGAAGATATGAAAAAAGCAGAACAAAAATGTCACCCTTCCTAGCGTGTGAAAACCCAGCTCCACATCTCTTTCCTTCTCTTCTCTCTCTCAGTGCCTCTGTGTGTGTGTCTTTTCTCTCTCTCTCCCTTTAAGAGCCCCCTGCAGCTGTGTCTTCAGAGAGAAAGGCAGTTGCTTCTTATTTATTTACAAGGCACAAAAGAAAAGGAGGGCAGGGGTGGAGCTGTAGAGGGGGTGGGTACTTTCCCTGAATCCCATCCAGAGAGAAATTTGCATTCGAATGAAAACAGTACATTGTCAGCCACTTCTGCACAGGAGGTCTTAGATCTTCCTAGCAGCATGTAGTGCAGCACAAAGTTTTCCTTAAGTCTTGTAATTTAGACACAGAGAGAGAATACTCAGCAGATGCTACCTGTTAAAAATTTCAATTATGTGCCTGAGCCCCTTCTGGAACAGCAAAGAATAGAATGTACACTCTTATCTCCATACATAGACAGCATTCCAATTTTTATCAGGGATCTTAGGCTCAAGAGATCATCTGTGGCTGTTAATCTGGTAACATTAAAATCCTCTAATAACAGCACCCTGGAGTGAGAGATAGCTGAGCATTCTGTTGCAAGACACTCTCTTGTTTCAAATACATTCTCTCCTCCGTCTCCCCCCCCCCCATCATGCAGAGGATTACTTGAAACCTTCAACAGTGCTCCAAATCCTGGAAGTTGATAGTGCAATTTGAAACATTCCAATCAATGCTTTTTGGATTTTTTTCAATTCAGTCAAAAATGTATTTAGCAAAGAGACAGCTTTTTTAAAAAAAATACTGCAAATACTTTTATTTTAATATGTGAAACAATCCTAAATTCTCTAACAATGAACTTCAAAAAATTGTATTGCTTTGTATATGTATTACTTTTATTAGTACACTGGGAGGGAGGGTGTTGTTTGTTTGTTCGTTTGTTTTTTTAAATAATGTCCTGTATGCAAGCAAGTGAAACAAAAAAGGAGCCAATTTATCCCTGGTATACAACTCTATTTATTTTCACTCAATTAATTTCAGTGAGTTACCTCCTGGATGAATTTGGCCCATTGTATGAGGAAAGAAATAAAGGATGATCAGTACAAGTTGGTGTAAGTTTGCATTGTCTGTGAGCTCCCCTCCAGCAAAATTTTACAGTTATTTTTACTTCTCTTGTATAGCTGGGGTTCCTCCCCTGATTATGTGTGCTTTATTTAGTGTTGGGAAGAATATTCTAATATATTTTTATCTAGGTATTGGTAATAAGAGGGTATAAGCAATATTATCACACAAATCATGTGTTTCAAAGGACTTTTCAGCTTTGTACTTCAGAAAGGTAGTAGGCATAGTAGTTAATAGTACAGTTGCTAAGGTGCCCAGAGCCCAGAACATGGAGTCCTTTCACAAGAGAATTGACAAAATCAAAGTCTCATGGATTTCAGATTATCAGAAAATTGCTTCACTTACTAAAAATGCAAGATCTGGACTTGTAAAAACTACTGAAACCACAGGAAAAATGCTGCAGTCAATTCACCATACAAAGCCCAAGAAGTCAATGGACAGCAGGGATAATAACTACAGGTCCCTTGTTTTTCAATTATCTTGAAATTATAAAATCCCACTGACTGACATCAGTTAGAAGACCACAACATTAAACATAAATCCACAAATATGTTTATTATTCTGGTTAAACAGCCAATCCATTATAACACTACTAAGAAAAATCAGAAATATATGGCCTTATTTATTATATCAAATATTTTTAAAAGCTAGTTTTATCCTGCACTATACTCCATCTCTGCTTAAAGAGATAAGAAAGTCCAAACTGCAGCTGAATTTGCAATGTTGTATTTGGCAAAAGTATAGTTTTCATGTTTCCACACCACTAGAAGTTTCCAATCAATACCAGGTCCTCGATGTGTAAACTGTGGAAGATACCTTTAAAAATCCAGCAGGTTCAAGGGAACCAAGAAATGTATGGGACACAACTGTGGATGGCAGCTTGACCCAATCTGTATGAAAATTTAGCTTGCCCACAAAGAGTTCTCCAACAGTCCAAGGAAGACAAATTCAAGACTTTACTCTAAGATTGGTTAGGTCTCTGAAGTCTACTGGCAAGGATCCAGTGGTAGGTGTGACATCCTGTATACCATGTGACACCGTGGACCTAAGTGTCTTTTATATGGTTATGATATATTTTGTGCAAAGTATACCTTGTGAGGTATCATTTGAAAACTCATAATCTACTGAACATCATTGTCCTGATAAAATGTGTGCATCAACATTGTCTCTGGAGCTATGAGAGTTTACTATATGTTTGTTACTGAAATATGTTGTAATTCTGGGGAATGCCCATAGACTAGCTCCTCAGGGACAACAAAGAACTGACCACAGGTGTTAAAAAAATATTAACTGCTGAAGCAACCATTCATCAGCAGAGGAGACTGTAAACAAAGATATTTACAGTTCACCTGAAAGACGTTTAGAATCTCATGTACACAGAGAACTGTTTTGTCTACACCCCAGTGGGGGATAATCCTCAAAGATGGTAAAAAGGTATGAGAATGGAGAACTCACTACACACAGATTACCTCTCCTCCACCCATCTCTACTCATGGCAGCAAGATCGATTCAAAGACTAAAGGAAGCATAATTGAAATGGGGAGAATGGTCCTGGCCCGGAGGTTTTCCAGCCAGTACAGACTGCTGAAAGCTTTTGGGTGAGAGAAAGCTTTTTGCTTTTAAACCTATTCGCCTTGGTAAAGTCTAGAAATTAGCTTGTCTGTTTATCTGTTTATTTCTTTTATAACCAACTCTGACTTTTATGCCTTATCACTTGTAAATCACTTTAAATCCATCTTTCTCTAGTTAATAAACTTGTTTTATTGTTTTATCTGGATTCAGTGTGTATATGGATTGAAGTGCAAGGGGAACTTCTCTTGAGACAGCAAAGCTGGTCCATACAATGATTCCCAATGTTGGAATGACAGACTATCTATGAGCTTGCACTGTTCAGCAGTGTGCTGGACAGTGCAATACACACATTTCTGGGGTGCAAGGCTGGGGCTGGAGATATATGGGTGTCACTCTGCATCTCTTCATGGATGGCTGGGAGACCATTCATGTAAAAATCTGGGAGTGATTTTACTTGCTAGTGGCTGTGCATGGGCAGGCTAGCAATGGCTGTTCTGACAGGAAAGCAGTGTAAAAGGCAGCCCAGGCTCGAGAGTTAGGGAACTCAGCAGTTCAACAGTCCAGGTTGCACAGTAGGAAAAAAGAAGTGGGACCACAAAGCACTGAGGTTGGGGTGGAGATTAAAGATAATCTAGGTACAGTCCAACACCTAAATGAATACTTTGCCTCAGGTTTTAATAGGGGTAATGAGGAGCTCAGGGGCAGTGGCAGGGCAGCTAATGGAGGCTAAACGACGATAAGTAAGTAAAAATGACCACATCCAAGGTGGAAACAAAATTCAAACGGTTTAATGCGACCAACTCGGGGAGCCTGGATAATCTCCATCCAAGAATATTAAAGGAACTGGCACATGAAATTGCAAGCCCCATAGCAAGAATTTTTAATGAATCCACAAATTTGGGGGTTTTACCCTATAATTGGAGAATTAGAAAGAGAGAAACTATATTTAAGAAAGGAACAAAAAAGTGATCTGGGAAACTACAGGCCCATTCATTCGACCTCAATTGTATGCAAGGTCGTGGAACAAATTTTGAAAGAGAGAATAGTTAAGGACATAGAGATAAATTGGCATAAAATACCATATGGTTTTACAAAGGGTAGATCGTGCGAGACCAACCTGATCTCTTTCTTTGAGAAGATAAGTGATTTTCTAGACAAAGACATTGCAGTACCTCTAATCTACCTGGATTTCAGTAGCACATTTAATACAGTTCCACATCGGAAATTATAGTTAAATTGGAGAGGAGGAAGGTTTATACAAGAATCAAAAGGTGGGTAAGGGACTTATTTAAAGGGGAGAGTATAATGGCTCATGCTGAATTGTCAGACTAGAAAGAGGTTACTGATGGAGTTCCTCAAGGATCAGTCTTCAGACCAATCTTTAACATTTGAATTAATGATCTTGGCATGTAAAGTGGTAGTGTGCTAATAAAATTTGTGGATGACACAAAGTTGGGAGGTATTGCCAGCATGAAGAAGGATGGAAATATCCTACAAGATTTGGACAATCTTAAAGACTGGAGTAATAGAAATGGGATGAA